CACTGAAAGACTTTTAGAATTGTATATTTAGGAACATGAAATGAGAAAAGTTTAGAAATTAAAGCTAGTACCCTAGATACACTATTAACAAATCTTTATTTCTAGCTGTAGTTAATTCCACTTACAAAAGAGAAATAAAATATTATTAGTAGCCCTAGATACATATAGGTAGCAGAATAGTTTAGATGTGCAGGTCTCAGTTTCTGTTGGATCTCTAACCAGTTACAGAGGGAATACACAATAAATCCCACTATTCTAAATAGCAATAGTAAAGTCTTATGACCATGGAAGCCAGCAAGAAACTAGTGCTAACTGAATAAATCAGCAGCCAAGTAGATATATACACTGTTTTAATGAATGTCTGAGGGAACTCTGCTTCAGTTATTGTATTAATAAAATAGAAAATTGAAAGAATGGGCAGTGTTCCATATGATTATGTTTTGTGCACCATGAAAGTTCCAGTGCCAAGAACAGTGCCTTACCAACTGTGCCTGACCCACATTGGGCACTGAACAAAGTAATTGTTGTATGGATTAATGAAAGGGGGGGTGTGAAAAATAAAAGTAAGAGTAATACAAAGTCAGGAGGAAATAATCTATAAGAGTGAAAAAAAAAAGTACATTTTAAGACATGGACAGCTACCTAGGAAGCTTGGATAAATGTAGTAATTGCTTATTGGCGCAAGTTGCCTTACTTTCCCAGCTCACTAAGGTCTTGGCTTATTTATCTTTGAATCTGTGTATACACAGATGAGCACATAGTAGCTATCATTTGTTGCAAAGCTATGGTCTCCCAATCACTGTTCTTCGCTGCTATCACCCTATGAGATGTTGCCCTCCCCATTTTAGGCAAAAAAAGATGTAAACACAGGTTAAATAGCTGCTCAAAGCTGTACTGTAGAGCTCAAGATTATGTGACTCCAGAGCAATCTCACCTAACTGTAGACTGGATAGATGCTCAGTAGATGTGTGATGAGTGGTTCTTTTTTTTTTCTTTTTAATAAATAAAGAGTAAATATAAATCATTAAGGAGATGACATTGAGATATGTCTTAAAGTAGTAGAGTGTAATGGGCAGGGGTGGTGGTGAGGGGTAGAGTATTTAGGTCAAAAGGGACAATGTTAAAAACAGGCATTGACAGAGTATAAGAGTTCTGATTTTCTGCTATACAGAATATATTTTTTTAATTTTATTTTTATTTTTATATTCCCCATATAATTGCAACCCCGATTTTGACCCCAATCCCTCCTTCCCCCACCCCCCACAAAGAGTGACTCTGGTTCATAGTTGTTTGTTGATTTTGATTTTTTTTTCTTTCTTATAGTTATTCTTTTTCCTGGTCCATATTTAGGTTTTCTAGATTCCTGTTATGGGTGAGACCTTCCAGTATTTTTCTTTTTCTTTCTGGCTTATTTCGCTGAGCATGATCCCTTCCAGCTCCATCCATGTTGCTGCAAATTGCATGTGTTTATCTTTTTTGAATGTCAAGTAATATTCCATGGTGTATATGTACCACATCTTCTTGATCCAGTCATCTATTTTTGGGCATTTGGGTTGTTTCCAAAGCTTAGCTATTGTAAACTGTGCTGCTATAAACATAGGGGTGCAGGTGTTCTTTGGAATTAATGTTTCTGTGTCCTTTGGGTAAATACCTAGGAGTGGAATTGCTGGATCATATGGAAGCTCTATGTTTAGTAGGTTGAGGAATCTCCACACAGCTTTCCATGGTGGTTGGACAGTTTGCACTCCCACCAGCAGTGCAGGAGAGTTTCTTTCTCTCCACAACCTCGCCAACATTTGTTGTTGCTAGTTTTTTTTAATATGTGCCATTCTCACTGGTGTGAGATGGTATCTCATTGTAGTTTTGATTTGCATTTCCCTGATTGCAAGTGACGTTGAACATTTTTTCATGTGCCCGGTGGCCATTTTATACAAAATATATTTGAAAGTTATTAAAGGGTAATGATTTGTGTCTAGATTATGAAGGACTTCCAGTACTAATCTGAGATGATGATGTTCAGACTTTACTTCAGCAATAGGGTCAATTCATCATAGATTTCTTTTTAGCAGGAAAGGCCCTTGAAAACAAATAAGAACCTAGAATTTTTTTTTTTTTGGAGGGAAAATTTACATTTCATAATTTATTATTTTTGAGGTTTTCAAAAACATAAGAGTCAGAAGGAAAAATACTCTGTTCATTCTGCTAAACTGATGCTAACTCTGAATATAGTGTATATGTCCATCTCTTATTTATTTACTTAATTTTATTTTTATATTCCCCATACAATTGCAGCTCCCTTATTTTGACCCCAATCCTCCTTTCCCCACACCCCCCAATAGTGTCTCTCTGGTTCATAGTTGTTTGTTGAATGAACCTAGAATTTTTAAGAAAGGTCAAGAGCTACTAATATCTTGAGGAAGTTGCTGATAGAGACTAATCCTCTTTATTTATTTTTTTTAAATAATAAATTTTATTTTTATATTCCCCATACAATTGCAACCCCCCCATTCTGACCCCAATCCCTCCCCTCCCGCCCCCCACCCCCAAAAAGTGTCTCTGGTTCATAGATTTTTGTTGATTTTGATTTTCACTTTCTTATAGTTATTCATTTTCCTGGTCCCTTATTTAAGTTTTCTAGATTCCTGCTATGAGTGAGATCATCCGGTGTTTTTCTTTTTCTTTCTGGCTTATTTCGCTGAGCATGATCCCTTCCAGTGCCATCCATGTTGCTGCAAATTGCATGTGTTTATCTTTTTTGAATGGTGAGTAATATTCCATGGTATATATGTACCACATCTTCTTGATCCAGTCATCTATTTTTGGGCATTTGGGCTGTTTCCAAAGCTTAGACTAATCCTCTTTAGAGGAGAATGAATTGAAAATTCCATAAGTAGGAGCATTTTTCAAAGGCTCTGAACTCTACGTCTTGATCACAGGAGCACTATTGGCTAGTTATAGTTCTGTGGTCATGCATGGAGAGAATGGCAGGCATTAAGTTGACAAATAGATGACAGGTTTATGGTGTCATTGCTTTCTTTTGACATTTCACTGACCTCTAGGTTTTAGAAAAACCTTGGAATATGAACTCTGTGGTAAAAATAAATTAGTGTTACCTTTGTGCCTGTGTAGATCTCAGTTTTCTTCTCATCTTTTCGGATATAAACTTAGCCTCAGGTTTAAATGGTCTTCAGTGGTCTCAGCTCTAACCTATCACATCACCAGGCCTCTGCCTTCAGGGGAATTTTCCTCTATGAGATCACAACTGGAATTATATCATTTTAGTTTCATCTGCCATTTGTCCCAAAGTTTAAAAAAAAATTCCTTGTCTACTAAAATAATTTACCATCATTTCCTGAAATGAGGGCATTGGCTATCACTAGATTTAACAACTTGTGTTCTTCCAACCATAATGGTCATGTCTTAATAATGTTTTGAGTTGACTTTGTATAAATGAAATGTTTACCCACAATATACTTCTCCCTCTGTTCAACATTATTTTCTTGAGATCATTTATATTATGCATACATATATCGGGGTGTTGATAAAGTTATGATGTATTTTTTTTTCAAAAAATAGAGAAAAATGCATCATGACTTTTCTGACAACCCAGTAGTATTCCATGAGTGACTATATCACAACTTATCCATTCTGATCATGATGGACTTTCTTATTACAAATAGTGCTGATATAAATAGTCTTGTGTGTGTATATATATGTATATATGCATATGTATACATATATATATCCTTGCACAAATATTATTCTCTAAAACAATAGTTGTCAACATGATCGTACATCAACATCACCTAGAAGACTGTTTAAATACAGATTGCTGGGCTCCCACCCCTATTGTATTTGACTCAGGAGGTCTGGAATAGAGCCCCCAAATTTGACTTTCTAACACTTTCATAGGTGCTAGTCATCTATTGATCCAAGAAATAATTGTTACAGTTTACTGTATAGATTTAGTTGTGGAACTGCTGGAGTGAAGTAGAGAATGCAAATGTTCAGTTTTTCTAGGTAATGCTAGATTGTTTTGCTGCTTGCAGAATGAAAGAGAATTGTCAGACTTGAATGTTTGCCAGTCTGGGAATGTTAATGTTATCCTATTATGTGGCCCCAAAATGAAGCTATTTCATATTTCTCTTTTATGTTAAAGCTTTCAGAATAAGTGGAAGTTTCCCAGATTAAATAAAAATGTTTTTCCAGGAAAAATCAGTCTGTCTATCTCTCTCTCTCAAACACACACAGAGTTCACAGAATAATTTCTGTGCTCATCAAATTCAGTTTCAATTGCTTAAGAAGAATCTTATATAATTCTTGCATTTTAAAGTATTTTTGCTATTCCATTGGCCTTTACTAAAGAAATCCAAGGAGAAATTCCCCTTTAGTGAGAAGACTTGTTTACAGCAAAAGAGTTACTTTTAATTGAAAAAAGTCTCTCTTAATTAAGTGCATTGCATACCTCAGAGACTCTCCTTGATAACCAAATTCAAGTTGACTTTTTTTTTTAAAGATTTATTTTTATTTATGATTGCAAGAACTGGGGTACAGGCCAGAGGTGTGGGAGTGAGAGGAGTCACCAGAGACAGAAGGGGGAACACAATAGGCAGATAGACCGAAGTACACTGCTGAGGGGAGCAAGTCAGGAGAGGTCTGCTGCGCCATGTGGGTATCTCCCTGGCCAGGGATCGAACTCGCACCACAGAGTCTGCGGATAGCTTCAGAGCTCTGTGCTCAACCCCTTGCGCCACCAGGGAGGCCCTCAAATTGACTTTTAACAGGTTCACATTCTAGAGGAGAAGCTGCTGCAGTGTTGACCCCTCATTCAGAAATTTGCTCATTGGAGCAAATCTGTTTCCAGTTTCAGATGACGGCTGCACACTCTCACAGCTGCACAGTGTACTCGAGAGCCGGTGTATTGTGACCAGGTGTTCAGTGGGTTTTGGCATCTGCTTTCAGTATGACTGGGCACTAATGCATGACTGACTGTCTTTCAGCTCTCATGACGCTGGTTATCATGTTGCTGCACCTGTTCTGGGGTGTTGTCTTTTTTGATGGTTGTGAGAAGAAAAAGTGGTACGTCCTTCTTATTGTTCTGCTGTCCCATCTGCTGGTGTCAACTCTGGTGAGTATTGCCACCGTACACAAACTGTTTTGAAACTCAAGTCCACATACCTAAAATGATAGACTGTACTCTAAATGAAGTCCATACTTGTAGGACAACGAGAAAGTTCAGAAAAGTTGTTTCAAAGAATGAGTGAATGTGTGCTAACATCAAAGTCTTACCACAGAAAAATAGTAACTTAATTTTTGGTCAAGCTCATTAAAGATGTTTTTCTATGCCTCTTTCTATTAATATGGGTATAGCCAATGCTGAAATATCTTGCATTATGCTTATGTAGGATATCTTAAAAAATTGCAATATTATTATAAATTATTTTAATACATAAATTCTAATAGCTTTATGCCATTACATAAAAATATAGTTTGCTTAGCTGTTAGAATAAAAAATATTTGTTTCTATTTTTAGTTACCATCAGGGTGTCATGAACATGAAACTTTCCCAATAGGTTGTTTAGAGTCCAAGGAATAGAATTATGAAGTCAAACTATGAATATTTAAAAAACCCTTGATGCAAATTGCTAAAATACTGTACACAACATTTGTACCATTTTACTCATACTGATGAATAACAAGATTGCCCATTTCACTCTTTCCTCACTGACATTCTAATAATGCTCTTTTTCAAAGTAAAAAAGTTTGAAGAGATAATTTGATTAGATTATATTTTTAAATACTGCTTAATGCTTTGGGTCTGACTTTTACTGTAATTTGTCATATTTGCATTGTACTGCCTAGTCCTGGCTTATTACAAAGTTTCCTTCTGATAGTGTTTTGCTTCCTGTTTCTCTCCTCCATTTAGTGTTTATGTCAAGTTTTCTTTTGCCAGGCTCCTTGTCCCGTCTTCTATCTAAAATGCAATCATAACCACCCCCCTCCTTAAATCTTTTAGTGGATACTAAACTTACCCTTAAGTTATGGCAGCTATGTAAACCAAATATTAAGCCAAAAGTACTGAATAGAGAAGGAATTAAAATATAAAAACATTTATTTCTGGGTACTGAGATTGTGGATTCTTTATATATATATATATATATATATATATATATATATATATATATATATTTTTTTTTTATTCCCAGAATAAAAATGTAACACTTTTATTTCCAGAAGTTGCTTTTCTCTTTTTTTTTTTTTTTTTACATGCACCTCAGCAACATCTTTATTTTTTTTTTTTTTTTTTAAATATTAAATTTTATTTTTATATTCCCCCATACAATTGCAAACGCCCCATTCTGACCCCAATCCTTCCCCTCCCGCCCCCCACCCCCCAAAAAGTGTCTCTGGTTCATAGTTTTTTGTTGATTTTGATTTTCACTTTCTTATATTCATTTTCCTGGTCCCTTATTTAAGTTTTCTAGATTCCTGCTATGAGTGAGACCATCCGGTATTTATCTTTTTCTTTTTGGCTTATTTCGCTGAGCATGATCCCTTCCAGTGCCATCCATGTTGCTGCAAATTGCATGTGTTTATCTTTTTTGAATGCTGAGTAATATTCCATGGTATATATGTACCACATCTTCTTGATCCAGTCATCTATTTTTGGGCATTTGGGTTGTTTCCAAAGCTTAGCTATTGTAAACAGTGCTGCTATAAACATAGGAGTGCAGGTGCTCTTTGGAATTGATGTTTCTGTGTCCTTTGGGTAAATACCTAGGAGTGGAATTGCTGGATCATATGGAAGCTCTATGTTTAGTAGGTCCAGAAATCTCCACACAGCTCTCCATAGTGGTTGGATTTTTTTTTTGTCATGTTCCACATTTTCTACAACATTTGCCTTTATATCAAAAATGAAGTTATATGTAAAAGCAGATGTCCTTTTTATGGGCCCAACTGGCTGTTCATTAATTTGTCAGGTATTTATTGAGTGCTTTCTATGTTCCATGCACTGTTCTAGGTGAATATACCGGTTTAGTGAACAAAACAAAGATCCCTGACTTTATAATGTACTCGGGGGAGAGAGGCAATAAGCAATAGACAGAACTTAGAGATTATATATTAGAAATTGATAGGTCTGTGGAAAAAGGGGGAAATAGAGCAGATTAAAGAAATCCAGACTGTTGGGTTTGGGCATAGGTATGTTAAATTTTTTTAAGTGGTGAGAGTAGGCTTCATTGTGAAGGTAATATTTAAGCAAACAAATGAAGTAGAGTTGGTCATGTGACTGTTTAGAGAAGAGCATTTTGAATTGAAGGGGGCCATTGGTAAAGTTTTAAGATTAAAGAATATTCTTGATCTCTTTATGGGAAGTAAGAGTGGTTAGAATAGAGTGAGGCAGAGAGAGCTTAGTAAGTGGGATATTGTCACAGAGTTGAAGGTGAGGAGGGAAGTAGAGATTGGAAGGGAAAACCACATATGTATAATGCAGGACTTTGGATTTTACTCTTAGTGAAATAGGAGTTATTGTGGGGTGTTAAGGAAAGGGATATGATCTTTTAAGTTCAAATTTTTTAAACTTACGTTTGCCTCAACACACTTTGCTGTGTTGAGAGGAGACTACAGTGGAGGAAGAGATTGAAGTCATCAAGAAAAGAAGGGTGACACCTTGGGTGAGCTAGCAGGGGAAATGATGAGAAAACAGATTCAGGTTGTATTTTTGAAAGTAGAGCCTGCAGAATTTCCCAACAGAGTGCATAAAGCATGAGGAGACAGAAGAGGAGCCAAGGATGTCTTCAAGGCTTTTGCTTGGATGGAGTTTCCATCAGCTAAGATGGGGTTACTTGTGAAGGGAGATCACAAGTTCTGTTTGGGCATATTACCTGGGAGCTATTTATTGGATATCCAAGTAAAGATGTGGATAGGCAGATGGATTAAAAAAAATCTGGAGTTTGGGAGAAAAATCTGGACTAGAAAAGAGGGTTGCAAGGAGTGAGTGCAGGCAGGCATGCAGTCAGGTGAAGAGGTGCAAGAATTAAGTCCTAGGACACTCCAGCGTTGAGGTTGGAAAAAGCAGAGGAGACAGGGAAGAAGCAACCAGTGAGATACAGAAAAACCAGGAGCCAGATGTCATGGATCCAAGTGTGTTAAGGAGGGGAGAGTGATCAGCTAGCACATGCCTATGGAGTAAAACGTCTCTGTTTCACATAGGTCTCTGTTAACCTTACTGGTGAAAGACTTACCTCCTGCTGCACCCCACAGTTGATATCATATACTCCCTATAATGGATCCAGTGCGGCTTCCCAATAGTTACGACTTTGTCCTTGCTGTTTTATCTGCAGTGACTAGTCTTTTCCTAACCTAGGTTATTTGGAAAGCTATTCATTCCATGTGAAGTCTCTCAGGAAAAGGTGCATATTCCAAACTCAGCAGTATTACTCACGCCTATTCATAGCTGTGTTATATTTATCCTCAGCCAGCATCATTTCATTTTACATAGTTTTTATGCCTTTCTCTCCACCTAGACTAAATCATCAAGTCTGGGGCCTTATCTTGTCAATATTTATATCCTTAATCCCTGGCATATAGTAGGTGGTCAGTAAATGTTGAATATTAGATAGTTGATATCACTCTCTTTAATCATAAAAAAGAATCCAGAAAATTTGGAAGATTATATGCCAAAAAGTTATCAGAAGCTATCTCTGAAACTCAGGTTTCAGAGAATAGCTAATTGTTTCATTAAAATAGCATACATACAGATAAGTATACAAATCAGAAGTGTACATTTTGGTGAATTTTCACAATTTGAACACACCTATGTAAATCAAACCTATGTGAAAACTTTATTGGCTCCCAGGAGGCTCGTAGTGCCACATCACTAGTTCCCAAGGTAATCACAGTACTAACTTTGAAAAGCTCAGATTGCCCTGCCTTTTGGTATTTTATGTAAATGGAACCATACAGTATTTACTTTTGCATCTGACTCCTTTTGCTCAATGTTATATTTGTGAGATTCATCTATATATAATTATTGAGTGCTCTTTTATTGAAGTATAGTATTCTAATGTGTGACTATACCATAATTTACCCATTCTAGAGCAGAAAAAGCATTTATGGTATTTAACTATTGTGAATAGTACTGCTTTCAGCATCCTAGTGCATGTCTCCTGATGAACATATATACACATTTCTTTTGGATGTATGCCAAGGAATGGAGTGGCAGGTTATGGGTACACCTGTCTGCTGTCAGCTTTTCACACTCAGTTTTTCAGAGTGGTTATATCCACTTACACTCCCACCACTAATGAGCTGCAGTTCCTCCTCCTTACCAACACATAGTGTGGCATTCTATTACCCTTCCCACTGGGAATGTAGAGGTGTCACATAATTTAGCCTGTATTTCCCTGATGATTAGTGGTGTTGAACATGTCTTCATATGTTTATTGGCCATTTGGATAATTCTTTTATGACATGCATGTTCAAATCTTTTGCCTGATGTCCCATTAGGTTGTCTTGTCTTTTTTGGAATTCTTTATATATTCTCTAATAAAAGCCTTTATCAGAGGTGTGTATTGAAAATAATTTCTACTCTGTGGTTTGTCTTTACATTTTCTTAATGTTGCATTTTTAAGAACAAGAGCTCTTAATTTTTAAATAATCTAATCAATATTTATGGTTTATTTTTGTTTTATTTAATAAAAATTTCATTTTAAAATTTATTTTGTGTTTTATTTGTGTATTTTAATTTTTACAGTAATCATGTAATTGCTTAAGAGAAATAGTTAAAGAGATACAAAAGAACTTAGTACCCTGTAAAATTAAAATACAGTGGATTTGAAGTATATAATTATTTTGAAGGAGATTCCAGAAAATGTTCAGTGTCTGCTATATTCACAGACACAGAGTATCCACAGTACTCTTTCTGCCTGTGGGCATGAAGTCAGCTCATTTCCCTGGCAGAGCTGATGGGCAGGGTCAGTGTGTCTTCCCTAGGGGCACTTGTGCAGGAAGGGTGAGGCCAGGGGCCGGGAGAAGGCTTGGAGGCACTTACCAACAGGTAGAGGTGTGTGGTGATTAACTATTAGCTAGCCCAATCATATTCTCCACTTTTAGTATAAATGCCAGGGCTAAAGGGGAACCCTTCTTCCCATCTTACCCTGGCCCAGCAGAGGAGGTGTCCCTCTTCTATCAAAGACCACTCCCTTCACTTTGGCTCTAATACCTGATTCTATCCTTCTTCTGGACTTTCATGCTTTTCGTTGTGCCCACTATCCTACACCAGCAGCCTTTCCCTTTCTTTGTCACTATACAAACACTCTTTAAATAAAATTCATTATTGCTTTTTTTCCTTCTAGCCACACTTTTTTTGTTGTTAAATTCCATCTGTAGGATTTTTTTTATTGATTTGCCACTCATTTACAGAACTATGTAATTTTGAAATTGCAATTTCACATCATCATATATAGCCACCTCTCTGTTTACAGTTCTTAATCACAGCAAAATGTTAAAAAGTTACCTCTACAATTTTTGTCTCCAATTCACAGCTCTTATTTTTAGTCCAGTCTGACTTTGGCTCAACCATCCTGAAACTGTCAAGGTCAAAAAGGACTTCCGTTTCGCCAAATCTAATGGCCATTGTTCTTTTTTCCTCTTTCCACCCTTTATTTTTATTTTATTTTATTTTATTTTTAAATAGAGGCATGTTTTATTTATTTATTTGTTTGTTTGTTTGTTTTGTTTATACATGCACTGGGTACAGTCAGAAGCGCGGGAGGGTGAGAGAATTCACCAGAGCCAGAGCGGGGAGCAGAGCAGGCAGAAGGACCGAAGTACACTGCTGAGGGGAGCAGCGGGTGGCAGGAGAGGTCTGCGCGACATGTGGGACCCTCCTCAGGTGGCCGGGGAGCAGCCGGGGATCAAGCCGGCGCCTCAGAGGTCGCCGGCAGCTTCGCAACCCAGCGCTCAACCACTGCGCCACCGGGGAGGCCCTCTTTCCACCCTTTAAAAAGAATCAAGCCACTCCCTCCTTTGACTTGAGCACACACTCCCTGATTTTCCTCTTATCTCCTTTGCTGACTTTTATTCTTCCAAACAATTTATAAATGTTAGAATTTCTCAGGGCTCTATGTCAACTTTTATTTTCCCTTCCCCCTATAATATCTCCTGGGTAATTGCATTCAGAGCATGGCTTAGATACTGTCTATGAGCTGGCTTCTATATTCCTTCTTGTGGCTCTGTCCTCTCTTCCGGGCCCCATACTCATTTGTCTCACTGCTTACTGACACCTGCCTTTGGAAATCTCACAGGCATGCCACTCTTAGCATGCCATCGTTGGAGTTGATTTTGACCCATCACTCCAAGCCTGGTCTTTCCCCAAGTCCTTCAAGTGTGGTCTTCCTTTGGTCTTTGTTATCTCATTAAATAGCACCTCCATTTCTCTAAAGTTGGAATCATGCAAGTCAGTCATGACCTCTCCCTTTCTTCACATTCATCCGGTCAGCAAGTCCTGTCAGGTCATATCACCTACTCTCTTCTTCACCACCACCACCATACTGGTCTGTCCTGGCCTGTCCTCTCCTCATCCAATATAAAGTCCTCCTAACTAGTTTCCCTGTTTTCTTCATAGCCTCCTTTAATCTGTTCTCTGTAGGTTTATACATCTAAAGTCACTCAGCTCTCCACTCTAAAACCCTCTGTGCCTCTTCATTGCACTGAGGATAAAATCCACACTTAAATCTTTACCAACATGCTGCATAGCTGACCCCTGTCTTCCCCTCTGATACTGTATGCTGACCTTCCATGTCCACACAAGATTAAATTTGAAACTTACTATGTTTTTAGCAGTACCCATCTCTTCATGCTTCTTTGCTTCCCTCCCTTAGTCTCCAAAAGGCTGACTCACTCCTCCTGTAGTCTCAGTTTAAATACTTTTTCCTCAGAACCTTTGTTGATCATCTTGTTCTTACCTGGTCTGGCACCATCACAGTTATAATTACTATGTCCTGACATCAATAACTTGTAATTTATTTGTCTCTTCATTTATTACCTACTTCTATTAGGATAGATACTTTGGTCATCACTATTTTGTAACATAGTACCTCTCAGCATTCTATCAATATTTTGGAATCTGCGGCATTTACACAGCTGAAAAAGGGCTCATGTTCCCTTGAATAATAAGTATTCATACAAAAGTAATTTGAACTTGCCTCAGTTTATGGCAAATTCTAATATCCAATTAACAGGAAATGATTAAAATCAGGTCCAAGTTATTTAACAATGTATCTTCTGTTGTGAATTACATTAGGTTCTGGCTTATAAACCTTCTAGGGGTTCCGTTTGAATTCAGTGAAGCATAGTTTTACAGGGGAGTATCTGTTGACTAGATTGGGGCTGTGTGTCTTTTATTTAGGTCCTGGTACTTCTGGACACATGATATAAATCATGTTTGATGAAACACACCCCAGCTATTGAAAGTATTTCATGTTGTCCTTTATCTTTGTTTACTCCACATGTTTAATACGCTTGCTATTATTACCCAAGCTGATTTATTTTCCCTTTGCAGACCCTCATAAGTCCTTATTATGGAGTAATTCTGGTGTCAGCATATATCATCATGGTGCTCACGGGCATCTGGGCATTCTTTGTTGCTGGAGGCAGCTGCCGAAGCCTGAAACTCTGCCTGCTCTGCCAAGACAAGGACTTCCTTCTTTTCAGCCAGCGCTCCAGATAACCTCCAAGAACCAGCCCCTCTCAAACAGTGAGCTGTGTCTTTAGAGGAAGCACAACTGTGCCTTTGTCTAAAAATCCTTTTCCATGTGGAATTTAGGAAAAGCAAAACTATCTGGATACAATAAGGACTTTCATTCAGCGGCTCTCTGAAAAGTCTACAGCAGTGCTGTGCATCCTGGCTGCACATTAAAATCACCTGGGGAAATAAGGACTAGTGGTTTCTGGGCTCCACAATCCAGATTTAATTTTTCTGGGTAATTTTTGAAAACTTCTCAGATGACTCTGATGTGCAACCATGTTGGCAACCATTGGTGTTCAAATAGGAACTTCCTGAGAACACTGGAAGTGAAAAAAAAAAATCAATGTTTGGTTGTCTCCTAACATAACTTGTACTGAGCAAGTAAATATCTGAATGTCAAACCCTGATTAGCTTTTGTCTTCTTAAGTTCTGAAGTCATAGAAGACTAAAGGGCTATCACCTCTATGAACTGTTTTCATGTACTTCACTAGAAGCTGGTTTTGAGAGAACATGGTAGGCTGAGCTAAATGCAATAACTGCACTTACTATGATAATTTAGCCAAAGTAAGCTATTGATGAATAAGCTATATATTTTTGAAGTTTTTCCATTCTAGATTTTGCTTTTTGAAGCATTGCATTGTTTTTTGAGCATATATTTAGTTTCTTTAACTAAAAGCTAATTCTTGTCTGACTTCTGGAAGGCATTATAAAACAAAGAATTTTTGTGCAACTTTGAGTCTTTCCTCACTTTAAGGATTTTCATGGGCTCTGCCCCAAAGCACTGTTTGCCAGTCGAGTGCTAGTTGCTGGACTAGTTGAGGAGAAGTCTATTGTTCTATGTGAGCAATTGAGCAGGTTGCTGAGTGAAGTATCCTGGCACAGGCTTTGCTGGAGCTGGTAAAACAGGAGGAAAAAAGGAAAACAAGCCAGTAGTGTGGCATTGACAATTTGCTCCTGTGATACTAAAAGATACTTCCCCCAAGTGGTGTAGTATAAAATGAGAAATATGTCTTTTGCTACCAAATTCATGCTTTTACCTACCTAATCTTTATGATCTTTAGGTCTAATAAATGGCTCTGGAATTTGGTAGTAGATGCTGAATTCCCTTTAAAGGAAAGCCCAAGGTCTGTGTTTAGCTTCTAAACAACCCTTTTGATTTTCTTTATAAAAAGGAAATGCCATTGAATTGTGTCTATACTAATTAGAAATTGTTGCTATTTGATGATTCTTAGGAAACTGATGATATGAAATGGAAATTACCTCACATTAAAGTGATAACCTCAGTGATCCCCATATGGGCAGTAGACTATAAAAGAAATAGGAGCAGCAAAGACAGCTCACCAGCGACATGACAGATAGAAGGATTTGGTAACATGTGTAGTACAGAAATGTGAGATATATGGCCTGCATTTAGCCACGCATTATTCCAGATACCAGAACATTACACATCAACTAACCTTTATCAGTGAAATCCCCTCCCACCTTTAAATTACTAGGATTTTCCAATTCAGGAATTCAAGAGGAGTAGGGGTAGTAGTAATACTATAAACAGTTTCATAAGTAATTAAAGTTAGTCCCCTAATAAAGTTTACTTTAGCACTAAACCCATGCTTCCACTGGAGCTTTTTATTTGAGCTTAAAGATTTCCTTTGACTAAAAGAATCATAGGAAGAATTAAGGACATAAAGCCTGAAGAGTGAAATGTTCTATGTAGAGTTGAGGGTAACAAGATACATATTGAAGGCAGCTTTATTCTTGTTGGAACATGGTGTTCTTTGATGTACAGAGTAAGAAAAATATATAGTTACTTACTGCTGTTGTTTACAAGTCTCTTAAATGGATAGTCTGATAAGTTTTTGCTGCTCTATAAAGTGTAGGAAACATAAATCATCCTTGAGCCCTGAGGATGTGTTCTGTTGATTATTAAAGAACCTGGGATATTGTAAACTGTCATTTATAAAAACTCAGCCAGCAAGAAAATTTTATTTGATGATGAGATTATTAACTTAGTTCAGGAAATTGTTTAATAATTCTTGATTACCTATGAGTCTAGGAATGTTGTAATTTCTGATTTCTCTTAAAGTCTGAGCATTACCATAATCATATTAGGCCACCACTGTTGCAAATAGCCTTGCTTTGCCTGATGCCAGAGAAGTCCAGAGGGAGCATATAGTCTTCCTCTGTTGTATATATATTGTTTTTGCTTTAGTAATAAAAAATGAGCTTTTGGAGTCCTGATAGTATTTGGAGAGAAAGAGATGGTGTTGATGTTGCATGTTCTCCTGCACACAGGGTTTTCTCAGTTTGAAAGGAGATTTGGGTATAGTTAAAGTTGACCTTGGAATGTGAATATTGTTGCAGTGCTTAAATATGTTGACCTTTGAATAACAGATACTTATTTTGTTGCTAGTAAAAGTTGTATTTATTTTTCATTCATTTGAATTAGTAGTTGTAACTGGCGAGGTTTTCCTCCATCCTGGCCTACCTGTCTGGCAATATAGCAGTAATAGTAATAGTAACTTCTTTTAGAGTCTTTTAGTGAAAACGTAGCTGAAAGGAATAAATGATATCTGCAAACTGCATAGAAATGCCTGTTGTTCTCAATATTAATACTTTCCCATCCCAATGTAGAACCTTGGTGTGATTTGTTGGGTTATTTTTTGGAACTGGGAATGCTCACGAGTTTTTCCTTATAAATCAATGGTAATAACCTACCAAATCATACCAAATAGGAATGTTCTACTTTCAGATGCAGGAAGGCTGTATTTTTGTTCTCTAGTACATTTCAGTCTTACTGAGAATGGCACATTCACACCAAAATGCTGGGTGTCCTTATTTGTAGAACTGGTACAGTATAAGCAGTTGTGACAAGAATTTCCTCCTACCTGGTACTCTTCCTACTGCCCCCCCCCCTTTAGATGAGTCCAAGACAGAGATTAGCAGCCTGTGTAGACCTGAACTCTCCATGGAAGCAACAGTGGCAACCTGTGTCAGGCATGGTCCTGGGAAGAGTGCTGGCTTTTTGTTGGCTAAACTTTTCCTGGACATCATCTTAGCTAAGTTGCCAAGATAGATATTATTGCAACAAACAACTTTAAAGTGCTTGACTTATAGCATTTTGTTTATGACTGCAGTGTACATTTCTCATTTAATAAAAGACTACTTCATTCTATTATATATTAGTGTTTAGAAAGGTGGATACTGTCTCTATAAAATATGTAAGATTTTATATAAGTTACACTGTTATGTTGTATATACTTGCAATATCAGACTTGCATTCAATATACAATGCAATAGACTATTTCCCAACCTGTATTTTTCAGAGAACAATAAAAAGACTGTTTGGAACTACTCATTTCTCATGTTCCCTCTTCTTTGAAAAAGTGTATCCTTCAGTATCTGTTACTACAGTTTTTGTCACTTCTAAAACTTGACTGTTCTTTCTATTGGTTAGGATTGGTCAGCTCAGACTTTTTCGAAGAGAAATCTTTGTTATCACATTTAAAATTTATATGGCCTATTTCCCTTGAGTGTGCTCAGAAACAGTTTGAATCAGAGAATCTTCTTGAAGTATCTTAAACCAAGAGAGGAGAATCCTAAAGAACCTCACCTTGAAAAATCTGCTAAGGAATTATAAAATAGTGAATTGTAAAGCATAACACATTAGTAGCTAAAGGTAAAAGTGGATGAAGGGAGGAGTATAATTTAGTTTCTACCCATTTACTCTGAATGTCCTGTCTAGTTCTTTAGTTCTTCCTGCTTTGGATGAGGAGGCTAAGCAGCCAAGGGGTGGAACTTGGTCTTTGCTCTCAGGCCACACAGAGAATTGTTTTTGCCTAAAACTCAAAATCCTATGATGCCTATCTAGTCGGGTTTGAAATAAGGCTGCTCCAGGTTTATGTTGACTGTTATTAGATGAAATTTTCTTAGGAACCAAGGGCTTTGCTAACTTGTGTCTGTGGAGTTGGTGCACATTCCTCAGGTAACAGCCCAGATTCGAGTATGATTTCATTGGCCCTTCTGCATTGAAGTTGTGGCTCTAGTTTAATTTTTGTTTGGTTTTTAGTTGGAACAGGGATTTTCCTAGAACCAGCCTTGATACATGAGAGAGTTCCAGTGGAGAGAAGCATGTATTTTACTTTTACCTCTTTGAAAATGCTAACTAGAGGGCCTCCCCTGGTGGTGCAAGTGGTTGAGCACGCACTGTGAACTGTCCGCAGCCTGCAGTGCTGGTTCGATCCCGGCCAGCTGGCGAGGCAGACCTCTCTGACTCGCCCGCTGCTCCCCTCAGCAGTGTATTTCATCACTCTGCCTGTTCTGTTCCCCGCTCTGTCTCTGGTGAATCCGCTCACCCTCCCACGCATCTGGCCTGTACCCCGGTTCTTGTATAAAATAAATAAATATTTTTTAAAAATGCTAACTAGACGGAACCATTCAGTTGACCTCCCAGGAGATGAAATGTGGATTTGATACATTTCATGGTGCCCCTAACAGATTATGAGCCTTGATCATTCCAGCTTTAAGGCTCAATTATTTGTAGGAGCTAGTTATTGCTGAAGTGTGCATCACTATAAACCCTGTTTTTAGACAGTAGTAAAACCATACATTTTCTGTGCTTGAGCAAAATCAGAAATGGGGCTTATCATACACAACTCTGTGATTAAATATTTTAAAGGGATGGAAATATTGAATTATATCATACACTTGAAACTGTAATACATTATTCATGAATTATATCTCAATTTTAAATAGAATGGAAAAGAACAAGATGGTGATCTTTGTCCTCAGGGAACATGTATTAACTGCCCAGATAAAGACATATAAGTACTGTTTTAAGCAACCACAAAATACTCTACTAATTATGAAATAATGTAACTTGAATTCATTAGGTGGTGCTTAAATTTTAGGAGATGATGAGCTCTTGGGTGTAAGGGGTATAGGTAAGAGATAAAAAAACAAGAGTGTGGTGGCTTAAGAACCAATGAAAAGTATGTCACATGCTGCTAAATAATGAAAAAGATGAGCAAGAACTGACCATTGTATATGGAGAAATGGAACTTGCTGGTGACCTTG